ATGTAAGAAGTAGAAAGTACAGGTATTTGAGTTCAACATGTAAGAAGTCAAAGTAAAACGCGGTCAGAAGAATAAGTAGTGGAGTAAAGTACTGATACCAGAAACATGTACTTAAGTACAGTAACAAAGTATTTGTACTCCACTCCTTCCCACCTCTGGACGACGCACAGTTAAAGCAGCAGAGTGTGATATCTCTGACAAGTGGAGATGAATCTCAACAGTGTTAGCTCTAGTCTGACAGCTGCACTGAAGTGTGACAGAGAGTTTTAAAAGTGCAAAGAGTGGAATAACTTTTAAACAGTTCTTGGGAAAATCGTATATTTATGTGACAGTGAACAGAAAAGCTCCTTTGAGGATTGTGTAACGGTTTCTTATATCTTGGTTTCTTCTTGTCTAAGGTCAAATTGTTCTGTTGTCTTACTACACTAAAGTGAAAACACATCTTGTTGATATTTATTTTCACCTGTATGTATTAGCATTGCATTTGATATGGAGGTCATCTCAAATTAATGTTAAGTAATCAGATTACTTTACATGTATATTACATTGTCAGCTTTAGGTCAAACTGAACCTGTTTAAATGATCCAATGACCTCTTTAAGGTTAAATCAATCACAGCAACACAATTTCTCATTTTAGATGTTAAGTATCTATCGGAATAATCCTCTTCATGTGAACGTAAAATAAATAACTCAACCGCATACATTAAGAAACATGTAATCCATCTTCTGTCAGCTTTTGGTCAGCTTGAACGGATTTTATTGAGCCAATGAAGTGAAAATCAATATTGCCAACAAATGTTGTCTTAATTAAAATACAAAATGTCTTATAGATATTGATTGAAGGACCCTTAATTACAAAAAACAAGAACCACAATATCTTTTATTGCCTAAAAGGAATTATAACTTAAATTAAAACCAAGTATGAAATTGAAAGCCACGACGGAAGTACCTTAAACCTGCATAATTTGTTCTAAACATAATTTAAACTCCCAATTCAACCACCTTTAACCTAACCCCTACCTAATCCTAGCCATATTATTTTTTATCAACTTTCAGAACCAATTATTTTAGAATTTATGTTATAGTCCCAGAAGGTGAGTCCCCACCATTTGAGTGTGTAAGCAGACCTATGTCCCCACAACATCAGCAAAACAAACTAAACACAAACACCCACACACATTCAAGCTACTCTCAGATCGGATCAGGGACGCGGGAAGTCAGTCAGAGTTGGGGGTGCGGGTGGAGCCTCGCAGATGGGGGCCTCAGCACCCCCCCTTCCCGCGTCCAGGGATCGGATGTCATTTTCTGTCAGTGCTGTATTGAGGGGACCACACATTACTACTGGATAATGCACACACACACACACACACACACACACACACACACACACACACACACACACACACACACACACACACACACACACAGTAAATACAGGAGTGTTATAGATACATGAAAACAGTTCAATAAAGCAGTTCCTGATGTGACCACTAGGGGGAGCTACATCTCCACTGTTCTCTTTCAACACCAACAGACACAAGTAGCTTTCCCTCTCTTCTCGGAAAATCTACTTTTGAAAGGTTTTAAATGAAATACACATTTAGGAATTCACACTGCATGTCAAACACATATTTGGATCTTTGATACCGCATTGTTTTATTAATAAAGAGTTGAAAATCAGAGCACAGTCTTTGAAACCTCTCTTGACACAGTTACGTTTTTGCAATTATGTTTTATGACATTTCAGTTCACTTTACTCTCTGTGTCTTTATGGGTACGGTTTGTTAATTTGTGAATACTTTTTAATTTAATCAACATTTTGAACCCAGGACTTTTTTTTGTACTTGAGTTTTTCAAGACTTATTAGAAGACGTATTTCTTCTCTTATAATGAAGTTTGCCATTGAGTGCTCTGCCCTTTCTCATCTCTACCTCTGTTTCTAAATAATGTATGTTCTGTTGTGTTGCCATTAGCGTGTGTTCACAAACATCTCCCAGAAGTTCGTGAAGTGCTGCAAGAACCGTAACAGCATGAATATTTTACAGCCAAACCGCCTTCAGAGTTGACATAATTCACAGAGAGGAAGGGATAGCAGAGAGCAGACGCCTCCTGACCGTTAACGTCACTTAACCGTCTCGTAGTGATTCTGCTCAAAGCTATCCAGAGGACAGAGATGATCCTGGAGGTCGATGTTAACTCGATAGGATGCTACAGATACTGATCTGCAACACTTCCTATTCAGCCTCAAATAGTTCAATAAGACACAGAGAGACAAGTCGATGTTTGTTACACATCAACAAGAGCAGAAATCAAAGGGCGCAACAGTATCAGTAACACAACACTGTAGTAAAAACAACATTCTCACAACTTATTTTTATCAACGTATCATTCCTAGGTTCTATAAATCAATACAAATCCAGTATACTAAAAAACAGAGCAGGTCTGGTAAACATCTTACTTATTTTTCCATTTAAAAATCATTGGAGCACTTCCTGCTTCCTGTCTGCATGCACACAGACAGCACAATAGGTACACATATTCATATCCACACTTTAAATATTGTGTTACGTTTAAAAGTCCTGCATGCATAGAGCACATAGAAGACACAAGTACAAGAGTATTACGAGCTAATTGTTATTAAAGAAGCTTAAGTAGAGGTTCTCCATATGCAGAATGACCTCCTGTTAGTGTTTCAATGGGAAAACTTAAAAGTCCTGAAATATATTGTGCAATCAAGAGAGAGGTGTGCTTGAGTACAGTAATTGAGAGCATGTCACAGTAGAGGCACAAAGTACAAATATGAAAACTAGCGTAATATGTCCTCTTTTAACATCTGCTAACTAAAGGCAATAATATTGGCCACCAGAAGCTAACGGTCAAACCCAACCACACGAGGCTGTAGCAGCAAAACAACCGAGTGTATTAGACTTGGAAAGGTTTTTTGGTATTATTAATATGTTAACATTAAAAAAAGAAAGACTGCTGTTTTGATATTTGTGTTGCCTAATACAGACCAAGACCAACAACGTGTTATTCTGTCTCTTAGCAAGCTAACATTAGCCACCGAAAGCTAATGGTCAAACCCAACCACACGAGGCTGTAGAAGCAAAACAACTGAGTGTATTAGACTTGGAAAGGTTTTTGTTGCATTATTAATATGTTAAGATTAAAAAAGAAAGACTTAAGGAATAAGTCGGATGCTGTTTTGATATTTGCGTTGCCTAATAAATACCAAAAAGTCATGTTATCAGGTCTCTTATTAGTTTCTAACTCAGCTCCAAATTCCCATGAGGACATACAACATCTTGCAAATGCTTGTGTCAGGAGTCCTTGAAAAGCTATTAAGTGCTGTGCTTTTATGAAGGAACATGTGCATTTGTTTAGAGACTATGTGCAGCAGCGGATTCATCCACATTTTGGTATTTTAGGGAACATCTCCCAGCAAACATATCCTGTTGTTTGCTCCATGTTCGAAAGAGAAACTCCAGACAGTCAGTTCCAGACATTCAAAAAACGAGTTCATATGAGAAACATGTCTGTAGAAATTCAGATGGTGTGGCGCTGTTGATTCCTACCCTTGAAACGCTTCATTACTTGCTGTCGGCAGAATAAACGAAGCATTGAATCCAATCTGTGCTTTGATTGGAAATCTAGAGTTTGTGAGAGAGAGGCGGCCACGTTTTATTTCTCCGCGTGAAGCTGAACAGTGAACGGCTGCTTCTGTCTCCGCTGGAATTGGTTAAAGTAATGCAGCTTTTTACCAGAGTGGAGATTTATAGTCCAGAGACACTCAGTGGGAAATGGGTCTGGTGGCTTATAGATCATGTTTGGTCATTTCCACTAATAAAAAGCTCTGATGGAAACAAACCGAAGAGGAGTTTACCCACAAATGTGCTTCACATGCTTCACCAATATCCCGTTCTTTGCACTGTGTAGTGTCAACAATGCAAACAAGCAGAAAGTATGGATTATACATAACCTGCAGCATTCACATTCAGACTCATTCACTGATATCTGTCTACGTTTGGTATCAGTGTTTTTGTGAAAGGTTATAAGAAAGGATTCCTGGTGAATTGTTCACACTTGTGCTCTTGTAAATATGCGTCCCATTGTCATAATTAAAAAAGAATACCAGATCGCCAATCCAGATACAAATGCATGA